GCCTGGGAGCCGCGTCTGGGGCTGAGCTCAGCGGGCACCTTGGGGAGTCCCATGAACCCAAACTCCTGGGGCAGGAGCGAGTGGTTGTAGAGAGTGATCTCGGCCCTGATGGCCTCGTAGATGGTGCAGTGGCCAAAGTCCAGCTCCGAGGGGCTGAGCTCCAGGTCAGAGGTGGTGACGATGGCCTGCACGGTGAAGCCCACTGGCTTTATCTGTGGCACAAAGGGTGGGTAAGTGTCCCCGAGCACCGTCCCCCTCGCCTGCTGTGCAGGTGCCGGGTGGCAGGAGGCAGAGCTGCCCGGCAGGCCACAGAAGGCGAGGATGGGCGCTGCAGCCAGGCGCTGCCGCGGAGGCCTCACTGGGTTCAGGGCCTGGCCCCCTGAGCACTGCTCCATTCCCCGGGGGCCAGCGTCCCTCCCAGGAAGAGCCCTGTGCAGACCTGGTCGGCCACCCAGATGGTCATCGGAGCCTCCAGGACTCTGCTCTCCTTGTCAAAGTACTTGCCAGCATCTTCGGGGAGGGAGTGCCTGCAGGAGAGCGCACACCAACTCACCTCTCTTCCTTGTCGGGAGACGATGGGGAGGCTGGCCCAACTGGTGCTCTGACACCCTCAGAGCCACACCACAGGGGACCCAGGTGCGCAGCTTCTCCAGGAGGCCGAGCACACACACAGCTGGACTTAAATCAACAAGCAGGCTCAGCAGCTGTGTTCCAGGTGGACGGGAGTGCCCCCTAGCCAAGTCCTACACAGCCCCTTGCCAAGTCAGTGTAGAACAGGGTCTGCTCTGGCCGGGCGCGGTGGCACACCCCTGCACTCCCGAGGCTCGGGAGGCGGAGGCAGCAGGAAAGTCAGAGGCCAGCCTTGGTAGCTTAGCAAGACCCAGCCTCCAGGTAGGACTTGAGCTGTAGCTCAGTGGTCAAGTCTCCTTGGGTCCAATAAATAAAACAATAAAACGGTCTGCTCTCTGATTACAAAAGGAAATTCGAATCATTATAGGAATATTGGGGGGAAATACCAGAAGGAAAGAAAAAACCGCCCTTGGCCATGATGCCTGGCCCCCAGGCAAGTCCCACAGCTCTGCTTCCTCAGCCGGCCAGCACCCTGCTCCTGCCCAGCCGCTGGCCCACGGGTCCAGCCGACAGCCTGTGCCCAGACCCTGAGCCGGGCCCAGGGCTGAGGAGACCCACCGGGGCAGGAACTTGAGCTGCACTGAGTAGGACGACTGGGCCTGGATGTAGCCCATCTCGGGCAGCAGCTCCATGTGGCCTCGCAGCTCCCTGCACACCTCGAACTTCAGGCGCAGGGCCACCTTGGATCTAAGCAGGTCACAGGGCGCCCGTCAGGGTCCAGGCCTGACCCGGACGGGCCTGACGGCGAGGCGCTCACAGGAGCACCCCGTGCACCTTCTGCAGCTGCTTCTTACGAGTCACTTTCTCTGAGATGAAACCTGACGGGAAATTCTTAACAATCAAAATAACTGAAATGTGCCCCAGATTTGAGAGGCTGCAGTGCTTTTGGGGGAACCTCCTGCCAGGGGCACAGGGAACTGGAGGGGGCTGGGGCGCTGCCTCCCCCTGCCCAGGGCTCTGTCTGGGCACTCTGGAGGTTCTGGGTGGCCGGGCCCCCAGTCAGGACCGCCAGCGGAAGCCAGATGCTCTAACCCTGCTTGCCCTGGGGTCTGCCAGAGGCAGCCGTGGTGGGCAGCCTCCCTGTGGTGGTCACCCCCGTGACCCTGGGACCGCCCAGATGTCCAGGATCTCCTGCCTTGGTCATCCTAGGGGACCCCTGGCAAGGGCTACTGCGGGTCCACAGGTGCGGCGCTCCTGCTGGCCACCAGGGGGCTCACCGCGTGTAAATGGGCACGGAGTCCTGGTAGAGCCGGTCGTACATGCAGATCTTCAAGTCCACGTTGGGCTTGGGCACCCAGACTGGCACATCCAGGGCCACGCCTGTGGCTCTGAAATACAGCTGAATTTGGACATGTGACTCAATGGGAGTCCTCCCCGGCAGAGCAGCCAGCGCTGGGAGAGCTCAGCAGGAGAATTCAGTGGGTCGGCTTCTTGTAACTCAAATTATAAATGTTGGAAGGTCAGTAATGACACCAAGCCACATTTCAGAGTTCTGAGGCATGTTTTCATGTCACTATACTTTAAAAAATATTTATTTATTTAGTTGTAGTTAGACACGATACTTTTGTTTGTTTGTTTTTATGTGACACTGAGGATCGAACCCAGGGCCTCGCACGTGCCAGGCAAGTGCTGCACCACTGAGCCACCACCCCAGCCCCTCGTGTCACTAGACGTTAAAATTATTTTTATTAACAAAAATTTCAAACTTAAAACAATAGAATAGAGCCCGTAACAGGGGCACCACCTGTATCCAAGCCCACCTACCTGGGAGGCTGAGGCAGAAGGATTGCAAGTACAAGTTCTGCCTGTGCACCTGAGAACCTGTCTTAAAATCTGAAAAAGAACTGGGAGGTGGCTCAGTGACAGAGCACTTGCCAAGTGTGCACAGGCCCTGGGTTTCGTCCCCAGCATTGCAAAAAAGCAAAAACCAAATTTTCCCTTACACAATAATGCACTATACAGAAAAACGTAAAAATTTTACCCATTAGGTGTAAAAATTTTATCCCTAATACAAACTTGTAGGTACAGAAGAGCTCGGAATTCTTGCAGGGGCACTGGAGGAGTGGAGGCAATCATTTCCTCATCTGTCACTTTGTCCCCAGACTCTGACTCCCGAGATCTGGGGAGTCTGGGTAAGAAGAGTAGCTCAGTGCAAGAGCACCCCTGGGTTCAACCCCCAGGACAAAAAAAAAAAAAAAAAAAGAGACAGAGGAATGGAAAAAGGGTTCTATGTGTGTGCTTGAGCATGTGTGTACATGTATGTGTGTGCTGGTGCACATGCATCATGTGCAAGCTACATGTGTGTGCCAGTGTGAATCAGCTTGGGTGCCAGCCATCTGTGCCGCCAGCTCACGGTCCAAGGAGCAGGGTGGCTCACGTGGCTGTGGACGTGGGCCCTCCCAGCACTGGGGCTGTGTGGCCGCGTGGCAGCAGGGGTACTCACTGTTGGGCACTTGGGATTCTTGAACACGACCTTGAACTTGGTCTGGGCCTCCCCTGGGGTGACCGGGGTGAACAGGATGGGCACTCTGATGGAGCTAAAAGGGCCGATCTCCCCCTCCATTATCTGCATGAAAGGGAGGTGCCCCGGGTCAGCAGGCCTCCTGGCCTGACCCTTACTGCAGCCACAGCACAGGAGGGCGGGGGCAGCACCATGTCTGTGGGGCCACGAGGTGACACACGGGCACTGGAGCCTGGCCTTTCCATGGGGTCCTTGCCGCGGGAGAAGGCAGCCTGCCCCTCCCCTCCTCCCCCTGGCTCCTGCCTTCACACTGCGCTCCATCCTGGAGGGTCTGCGGTCAGTGTCCTCTGATTCGCAAACCAGCCCCGTCCTCATGGGGGGCAGGGCACTGCCCTGGCTGAGACTGCAGGTTCCTGGAGGTTGAGTTGCAGCCTGCCTCCAAGCAGGTGGGAGGGCTGGTGCCCGGTGGTGGTGGGGGGCGGGTCCCAGTCCAGCCTCTGGCAGCCGGGGTGTGAGCAGGGGGTGGGCTCACCTCCCCCAGCGTGATTTCTGCCTGCTCCTCGCTGGGAAGCATTCCCAAGCCCCCCGTGGCAGAGGTGCCCTCTTGTTCTGGAAGGCAAGAGGAGAGGAGCAACAATTCAGACATCAGTCACTGCCTGGAAAGAGTCAAAGACATCTGAGAGACCCCAGACGTGCGGGACCTCCCCCCCAGGAACTGTGAAGCCCCGAGGGAAGGCAGAGAACTAGAGCGGATGAGGAGCAGCACCACACTGTGCCACAGGCTGTCCATGGGCAGATTCAGCTCCGTGCCCGTTACTGATTCTAAAACTGATATGGAAATGCAAAGAACCTAAGCTATCCTGAGCAACTCTCCTGGAACACAACACAGGTTTCCCCAGCTCACCATGCGCCTTAAGTCCACAGCAGCCAGGGCGGCGTGCTGAGTGAGGGGCAGCTGGTCAGCTGAGCAGGGCAGCACCAGAAACGGCCGTGCCCACAGTACCCATGAGGCCCACGGGCAAAGCCAAGTCCTTTCAACACGCCTCCAGGAAGAGCAGCCACATACAGGGAAAACTGCACCTGCAGCCCTGCCCCACAGCTGGACCCCAGCCTGACCTCAGAGCTGTGTCCTGGTCCCCATGACTTTGGGACAAGGAGGTCACGTGCACACGCACACACACGTATGATCGATAAGTTTGGAAATCTTAGGTTTAAGCAGAGACGTCTTAGAGGTCGCACCGGGGCTACGAGAGCAAGTCCTAGGGACAGACTGGACGCAGCCAGAAGGCCCCAGAGGGAAGCAGGAGGGCAGCTTGGCTCTCATGCAGGGAAACAGGCTGGGGGACGAGTGACCCGGGAGGCCACCAGGAGTCCAGATGATCTGGACAACAGACCTGGCCAGACCTCCTCTGTGGGCCATACAGCGGACATCCTAGGGCCTGGACTGTGCCGTCCAGCAGGATTCTGGACTGTCCAGCCCAACACTGCCCCTGGTCACCGCTGAGCAGTGGAAACATGGCTTGTGTGAAGGAGGAATGGATTCTACTGTGGAGGAGGGGTGGATGTAAATGGCCCAGTGTGGCCAGTGACAGCCACGCGGGACAGCTCGGCCACCCGTGGTGGGGGGGTCCTAGGCCAGCTCGGCCACTTTTAGAAAGTCCCTGGAAACAGCTCCTGAAAGCACAGAGGTGCGCCTCGACCTGGGGTCACAGAGGTGCGTGGGGAGTGTGGGGTGGTGCTGGCCACAGTGGCCCACCCCACGGGCTGCCCAGGGCACCCAGAGCAATGTCTGTGAAGAAACGCCCACATGGTGCCGCAGGACGTGCGCCCGGGGCGCGGGTGGCCTCGCCGTCAGGAGGGCTGGAACAGGGAGCCCGCTCACTGCTGGCTTCCAGGGGCACCCAGAAAGCCCCAGAAAGAAGCAGGGAGTCAGCCGCAGTGCCGGGGAAGGGGGCAGCGGCTGCTGGGCGCGGGGCCGGGCCGGGCTGCCCTCTCCAGCTCAGCACCAGGACACCCACAAGTCGGCAGGGCCTCCCCGGGTGCTGGGTGCACTTCTGCAGTGGACACGGACAGGGACCCGGCCCGTGGTCAGGGCTCCCTGGCCCTCAGCGCACTGCCCAGCTCCTGGACGCCTCACGCTCCTTCAGGGCCCAGGATGGATTTGAACATATGAATGATTTCCTGTGGACTGTCACTCTCTTGGGGACTGTCACTCTCTTGGGGACTGTTGCTTAAAATGGAAGCCCTGGGTGCTACTCCACAGCTTCACGCTCTCGGGCCCTCGGTCTGTGGTCCACACAGAGCTGCCCTGCTGCACTGAGAGTTCAGAGTGGCCCTCCTGTCCCTGCCCTCGGCCTGTCCTGGGCAGCGTGGGAGCCGAGGCAGGGACGAGTGTGGGTGCCCTCACCCTCCATCTTGTCCGACTCTTTCTGGCTCTGGGTGTCCAGCGGGGAGGTCCCGTTGCCTTCCAGCTGTTGCTCGGACACACTGGTGAGACCCTTGTCGTCGCAGGTGAACAGGCTGCTCTGGAAGGGAACGGAGCTTCACCTCTCCCCTCCATCCAGGCACCCCCGGTGGGGCCATGGGAAGCTGTGGCCGGGTCTGTGGCTCCTGTTCTGCACGTCTGGGTCTCAGGCACAGCAAGGGCTCTCCCCGGGGCAGCTCTGACCCCTCGCCTCCTTTATCTGTCAGGGACAGCCCCTCCTGTCCCCTGCAGGGACACCCCATCTCGGGTGCCACCTCTGAGCTGGGAGCCCAGCCCGACCTGCCCTGCCCGGCCACTGCTCCAGAGCAGGCTCTGCGCCGCCCGGCGGTCCATCTTCCTCCTCACCGGTGGCCCAGAACCCTGGTGCCCAGGGGGGCCCAGACGATCCGTCCCCTGCCTGCCCAGGGGCAGCTCTGCCCCCAGGCTCCCACCTCCTGCCCTCGAAGCCCCTGCTCTCCACCCTGCCCAGGCAGCAGCTGCCCTGTTGGTTCTGTCCTCCCCTGGGTGAGACCCCAGAGGGCAGGCAGGACTGAGGGTCGGAGCCCACTGCTTCTGGAGGACTGTTCCAGTCTTAGAGCTGAGTGAGCCAGGCCACCTGCTCCTCCACCGACCCTGCGCCCTGCTGTGGCCAGGGCTCCCTCCTGGGAGACGAGGCCCACCCCATGCTTCCTGGGCCACGCCCCCAGCCTGGGCTTTGGGGGGCCTCAGGGAGGGTGGCCCTGGTGCTCCTAGCTGCTGCCCTGGGCCCACGCCTGAGGGGGCACGCTGTGCTGTCCCCTCCCAGTCCCCGGCCGACTGGCGCGTCTCACAGCCACTTTCACACACACGGGGCCGTGTTCGGGTGGCCACGCTGCGGGTCAGAATCGGCAGCCCACTCACTATCTTCAGGAGGGGCAGGGACTCTTCGTCCGTCTCGTAGACCTCGGAGGCTGGGAGAATCTTGAAGCTCGTGCCGAGGCCCCCGGAGTTGGTCAGCGTGATGGTCCGGGATGTGGTCTCACCCACCACGTAGCTGCCAAAGCTGATGAGCTCCTTGTCCAGGGACACCTGCCAAAGGACCCACAGTAAGCCGCTCTGGGCTGGCAGCATGTCCAGCACCAGGGGCAGGCCCGGCAGAAGCCAGGGGACCACGGAGCCTACTGCAAAGTCGCCACCCGCCGGTCACCTGAAGCCCCCAGGGACCACAGGAGCCTGGCCTTTCTTCCCCCTCACGGGGAGCCTGCACCTGGCTCCAGGCAGGACAGAGGGCCACCATAGACCTTTGCACCAGCAGGGCACCGCATGACCCAGGGACACGCCCAGCCCAGAAGCTGCAGACCTGAGTGTGGCTCATGACAACCTGGGGCACCTGAGTCCAGTGTCAGGGAAAGTCAGACCTATAACTCCCTTACCCAGGGGCATGAGGTTGCTGGAGAGGAGACACGGGTGGCCGGCGGGGTCTGGACGCGGGCTGTCGGGGCTGGCCTGAGCTGCTCAGGACCCCGCCCTGTGGCACAGCTCTGGTCCCCCGCCCCTCTGGGCCTCCTCTCCCCAGGGACAGTCCTCCAGTCAGGAACCCCAGGAGACACCAGCCGACGGGGGGGGGCTTACGGAGCATTTCCTCGTGGAGCATTTCAGAGGGACGGAGAAGCTGCCCGTCTGAGCCAGGAACGAGATGCTTCCTTCCAGATCTTGATCTATCTGAACAACAGAGCCAGCCACGTAAACCCCTGTGACGTGAGCCACGGGCGGTGTCACACTGTGGCGCCTGCCTGCCACCCACCAGGCCAGGCCCGGGGAGGAGCCCAGAGGTGTCTGGGGAGGGGCCACCAGGGCAGAGCCTGCAGGGACGTGCCAGGGGCCGGGGCTCCACGTGGCTGGCTCGTCCTTCTGCCTCCCAGGGTGGTGGGAGTATTTTTTTGGATAAAAGTGGAAACAGTGCCCTGCGCGGCCCTTTGACTCACCATGGGCTTGAACGTGACCAGCACGTCACAGGACATCCCGGCTGACATGGGCCCAGGGGGGTCAAAGCTGCAAACACAATGGCCAGGGCACACGGTGGTCAGGCCTCCTGGTCTCTCCTCACCCAAGCTGCTGCCAGGCTGCCCCAGTTCCCAGTGGACAGGAGACGCTCAAGTCACAGTGCCATCTGTCCCCTGAGCGAGTCAGAGAGGCCAGTCCCCTGCACCACTCTCCAGTAACGGGTCACGGAGGGTGAGCAGGGCTCTGACTCCCTGAGGACCCGGGACCCACGGGGTCAAGATTTAAAGCCAACATGAGGAGGGGGACTGTGGGCACAAGCAGCCCAGAAAATAGCCGCAACTGAGGCAGGGGACTGTCTCTGCTGGCCGGGCCCTGGGTGAAGGAGAGTCCTTTAGGGGTTCCCAACACTAGGCCTCTCCTACAGACGTACGTGGGTTAGAAACGGCACAGACTGAAAGTTTAATGCAAGCGCCTGTCCCTGGCTGGCCGTGTCCCCCTGGCCAGCAGAAGGAGACTCCAGGCTGCTCTGATGGGGACGAAGCACCGTGTCACCAGGAGACACAGAATCACCAGCACAGAGCCCCCTGGTGAGGGGGTCAGGACAAGGAGCCAGGAGGTGTGGACAGCACGCGGCAGAACTGAAAGACGCAGGGACTCCACCCCCCCCACACACACCGAGGGCCGTGGGACCCCTCCCCAGCACGGCGGAGACACCAGTAGGAATAAACTGAAAACTAAACGTGAGAAGATGTCCAAGTGAGCAGGCCCCAGAGTCAGGCGCCAAGCCCAGCTCTTCTGGAAGAACTGGCCTGTCTCCTGCGGCTGGTCATGGGTGGGGCCCGGGGATGTGGACACCACAGGCCCCGGAGGCAGAGCTCGGGACCAGGACGTGGGGTGGCTGGCTGGCGGCACAGGGGCGTGGACTTAGAAGCAGGACCCGGAAGCCAGGCTTTCAGAGCAGCGGGTGGGTGGACAGGAGCCGCGTCCTCCGCCAGCAGAGAGGTCATTCAGGAGGGAGCAGCCTAGCGGCCTCCGCTGGACCCGGGCCATGCACATGCCCTCCAGAGACCACGTGGGCCAGCAGGAGCAGGCCGCAGGCACAGACAGAAAGCCTGACTGGAGACAGAGCCACCAAGACTCCAAGCCAGCGCCCCCCAGCCACCCTCTGCAGATGGCTAGATACAGGGAAGAGAGGAGGGGGGCTAACATTCTACAGCCCCTCCCACTCAGTCCCTGAAGAGAACAGAAGATCCCAGTGGGTCGGCCAGCACTGCCCACCACGAGGGGCTGTCAGGGAGACTGGGATTCTTATGCCAGACGCCCTCTTCAGAAACGGCACGTCACACACACCACTCCTGGACTAGAAGTCTCTTTTTGTAGTACTGGGGATTACCACCAAGTCACGTTGCAGCCCTTTTTATTTTTTATTTTGAGGCAAGGCCAAATAAATAGCTGAGGCTGGCCTCTAACTTGTTTACGCTCCTCCTGCCTGAGCCTCCCCAGTCAGTGGGATCACAAGCCTCACCACGCCCAACTACACTGTGAATCTTAAAGCCATTCTGGGCCTTCAAACCTGCTCTCCAAACGGGGGGAGGTTGGGAAGGAAGCACAAGAGAGCCCAGCTGTGGTGAACCAAGGCCAGATGTGAGCAGCGGAGGAGCAGCACCCGTGTGCAGGAGCAGCACTTGAGGCTCAAGCCCCAAGTCAAGGCACAGGCAGGTCGGGGAGGTGGTCCCCGAGGGAGGTGGCTGTGCTCGCCCACGGAAAGGCTCTCTGGCTGCCGGGTGCCTGCCGGGTGCCTGCCAGGTGAGTGCCAGCATCCAGACCCGGGTGCAGGAGGATGGATGGCCTCCGAGCTGCCCAGGGACGGGGCTGGGGACTCACCTGATGTGGACGAAGTCCTGCAGGTCCTCGCTCACGCCCACCAGCGAGCAGTAGTTGATGGTGTAGGTGGCGTTCACCAGCGTGATCTTCTTCTTGTACGCTTTGCCAACCTCGAAGTCCTGGAGAGTCAGCAGTTGCTGACCCCGGGCCTCGGCGGCGGCCTCGAGTCACCTGAGACCCTGCAGCTGCCCATCCTCAGGGCGGCTCCAGGGGTGGCCCGGGCCAGCCTTGGCAGATGTGGCTCCAGAGAAGCCGTGGGGAAGGACAGGAGGGAGGCTCAGGCTGGCCACCTTGGCCTCACCTGCTCCTTCACCTGCTGACATGGGCCAGCAGGCCACGGGGGCTGGACTCCTGGGGGCCTTCTCACGTGAAGCCAGAAGCTGCCAGGGCAGGGGCCTGGTGGCAACTGCCCAGTCACATCCCCTTCCCGAGAGGCCCGCCCTCGGCTCCTCGCGCCAGGGGCAGCCCTACGGGCCACACGTCTGCAGAGGTCAAGGCAGAAGGCACCGGGGCTGACCGCGGCTACCCAGCCCCTGCCCAGTGCCGCCTCGGGCTCACCTTGAAGTGGACCAGCTGGGGCTTGCTGTTGAAGGGGCAGCCTTTGAACTCCCGCCCGGACGCCACCTGCTTGTGCACCACCCCGCTGCGCAGCTGGGCCATGGTGCGAGCCAGGATGTCCTTGTCCATCTTGGTGCCGCCCACAGGCTTTTGGTTCCCATCCTCCTTGTGCTCCTTGGGTGGCAGAGACAGAGGCCGTGTGGCTCAAGGCCCGGAGCTGACCAAGGGCAGGGCTGAGCCAGCTGCTGAGGAAGACCACGTCGGTGCTTCCCAGAGAGAAAAGTGGGAGGAGGAGACAGCTCGCAGGACGCAGGGGCCCTCAGGCGACGACGGAGGGGAGGGGTCTTTAACTTGCTGAGTCAGGACCAGAGGGAGTTTGGGCAAAGTTCTGCAGAGAGTTCTCCCGGGCAAAGTCGGGCCAGGACAACCTCTCGGATTTCAGCAGCAGAGCCGAGTCCGAGATGGCCCCAGGCTGGTTCTGTTCCTCCTGGCCAGGAATCTGCTCGGGTCCTCGGCCCAGTCAGCTCGTGGGACAGCCCGGGCCTGACTGCCATGGTGGGAAGCCACCTGCTACCTGCCTGGCACCCACCCGCCCACCTCTGCCTGCTGGGTCCAGTGGCACGGCCAGCCAGGCCCGTCTTGCTGCTGCCCACCAGTCAGGCTTTGCCAGAGCCAGTCACGGCCTGGCCCCTACTGAGGGAGCCCACGTCGACAGGAGCCGGGCGGTGGGCAGCCCCTCCCCAAGGGATGGAGCACACGGCGGCCACCACAAGCTGGGGACACGCCTTGCGATCCCGAGGTCCAGCACTCTGGGTGGGCTTCCCGAGGGGTCGTGGTCATCTGCACTCAGCCTTCCTCTGGAAACGCTTCCCGACAGAGAGCGGCGATGCATGGCCGACCCCGGGGGCCCAGGGACAGGCGGCTAGGCTGACCCCTGGGGCCCAGGGACAGGCGGCTAGGCTCAGTGGGGAGTGGGACCATTGTGTCCAAGCTGGCTCCCCTGGACAGTGGTGGGCAGAGGAAGGAGCCAGAGATGGGCAGGGGCAGCAAGGAGAGTCCTCAGGGCCAGGGACGAGGGCCCGGGAGAGTCCCGCCAGGCCCTGCCGAGGAGAGCTGGTACCTGGTGTGGCATGTAGTCCTCCCTCCAGAGCCCGGGGATCTCGGGTTCAGCCAGCGTTTCCTGCTCTCCACCGGTGGCCCCAGCGACCCCCTGCACAGACTCACTGGAGTCGGCTTTCAGGAGCCAGGAGGGCTCAGGGTGCGCTGCAGCCTTGACCTCCTGTAGGCAGGATGCAGCAAGACACACTCAAGTTAGGGCTGCAGCAGCAGGAGGAAGACAAGTCGCGGGAAGCCGCAGGGAGCCCAGCCATTGCAGCCCCTCCTCTGCCTGGAGAAGGCTCCGCTTTCCACCTAAAATGCAGCTCCGGCCTTTGTACACACAACTCCGCTTTTCTGCAGTGCTCAGCAGAGTCCTCAAGAGACTCCCTTTCATGGCAAGGCGTTGGGATGGATGCGTGTCTGGGACCGGCACCGCCCCCCCACTGCTCTGCGGTGCTGGCAGGGGCTCCTCCTGGGGGACCTGCTGCAGCCCCAGATGAGGAGCGGGGAGTCGGGTGCTGAGGGGAGGCTGGAGGCTCGCAGGACAGCGGAGAACGTGCAGGGAAGAGCAGGGAGGGGCAGTGGCAGAGCCCCAGGGGAAAGGCAGGGCACAGCCACGCCACAGAGGCCTCGGGAGGCCCAAAGGGTCACGTCCCTGCCCCCGGGCACCACGCAGGCCTGGGTGTGGCAGGCGGGCAGAAGCCTGTCCCTGGCAGTGGGTGGAACCGTGGTGGGCTGCCCTGGGGCCAGACCCCGGTGGCAAGGGCCCTGGCGGAGCTCAGAGGGAGCCCATCCCCTGGGCCCTCCATGTCCTCCTCCGCACCTGGCCCAGGCCCTTCCACTGCAGCCGCCTGACAGCAGCAGCGTCCGCTCACCAGCGGGTAGCTGGAGGCCACGGCCGTCTCCCCGGTGCAGACGTGGGCGATGTAGCTCCAGGTCCTGTCTCGAAGAGTGCGTCCCCGGGGGGCTCTGGCGGGGGGCCGCTGCTTCTTCTTCCGGCTGTCCTCCTCGGCCCCCTCTTTCACAATCCGACCGACGATCTCCTGCTTCCGGAGCTCCTGCCCCTCCTGGAAGGTCCTGTTGGAGGGGCTTCTCAGACAGGATCCAGGGGCCACTCGGGCCCAGTGTGGCTCAGCTTGGCCTTGCTGGCCACCTCCCAGAGGCTCAGGCCCAGCCCAGCAGGGCTCTGAGGTCAAACATCCTGGTCTCAGTGAACCGCTGGCCTCTCTGGGGAGGGATGATGGGGCCCCAGAGGGCTGCCACCCTGGACACCCAGGACTTGAACGCCAGCCCTGCCTCCCCTGCCTGTCCGGCTCTGTCCTGCTGGCCCCTCGGGCAGTCCCCACGATAGGCCTGGTCCTCACGAGCTGCCCTGTCCAGGTTCCCAGGCTCTCTGCTGGGCACAGAGCAGGGCAGTGCCAGGCCCGAGGACATCACTCCTCCTCTCTGCTGCTCCTGCCAGGCGCCGCCCAAGAACCAGGCCTAGGCAGGCAGGGGCCATGACAAAGGCCCAGTGGTGACTGCAGGACTGAATAGGCCACAGCCAGGCTCCATGACACCTCGCTCCCTGACACAGTCCAAGAGAGGGCGGGAGGCCAGCAGGGCGGGAGGAGGGCCAGGAGGAGGCCGAGGCCTGAGGAAGACCTTGGCAGGGCAGTCCCTGGGGCCGTGTGTGCAAGTGGGCAGCCCTCCTCAGAGCCCAGTCCAGGAGCCCGTGGCAGGACAACAGGTAGCACCAGCTCACCCTGGGGAGAGCAGAGCCAAGCCCGGGCAGGGGGTAGAGGGTGAGCCCCAGCAGCACCCAGGAGGAGGGACACGGCCCAGGCTCCCCACAGATGCCATGTGGGTGGCAGGAACGGAGGGTCCCAGCCAGTGGTGGGCACAGGCCCACCTCCTCACCTGCTTCTGGGAAGGTGAGGAGTGCAGGGCCCAGGCTCCCTGGAGACCCCCTGCACCTGGGGGCCAGGGCCGGGCAGGGGGAAGGTGCAGAGGGGCTCTTGGCAGGAGCCGCAGACTGGCTGGGGTGAGGGCTGTGGCCCTCTCCCCGTCCTGTGCCCGCCTGCCCTGGAGCAGGAGTGGGCTTTGCTGCCCCCTGCCCACCCTCCTGCCCTCACCTCCTCTGGGCCTCCAGGTGCTGGCGCCGTTGCTGGTGGACGAGGTGCCTGAAGGCGTCCCCACCCTGGGCCAGGATGGCCTCTTTCTCTGCCTTGGCCTTCCGCTCGGTCAGCGCCGCCCGGGCCCGGCCCCAGGCCTGGACCCTGCGCAGTGTCTCCTGGAAAGAGGGCGCCCTGAGGCCAAGGCCCAGGCCCATGCCCAGGACCATACCCACGCTCAGGACCACATCTAGGCCCATGCCCATGCCCAGGTTCACACCCAGGACTTCGCCTATGCCCAGGACCATGCCCAGGACCATACCCACGCTCAGGACCACGCCTAGGCCCATGCTCATGCCCAGGTTCATGCCCAGGACTTCGCCTATACCCAGGACCTCGCCCAGGACCACGCCCAGGACCTCGCCTATGCCCAGGACCACGCCCAGGACCACGCCCACGCCCAGGACCACGCCCAGGACC